AAATATCTGTTGGAAATGTTGAACGAGTTTATCCTATTTCATGTTATGAATAAACATCAAATTAAAATGTTAATAACTCGTTTTAAAATTTTCTTTTAAGACTTGAAATGTTCGGAGTAATTTTCTTTTTTGTTTCATAAATTTTTTTAATATAAATAAAATAAAATAAAATATTATTATGAATGTTTAAAAAGATAAAATAAAAAAAACTAAACGTGACTCCCTCGAAAAAAATTTTTTTTTTATTATTCTAAGGTAATTTTAATAAATTTTTATCAACGGAAACGGAATAAATTTCACTGCAGGAAATTTAAATTTTTTTACACAAACTCTCTCTTTTCCTTTCAATTTTTTTTTTTTTTTTAATAATAATAATAATAATAATAATAATAATAATAATAATAATAATAATAATAATTTTCTCTTGTATTTTTTATTCGAAAATAAATCCAATGGGACCATCATGCCAAATAAATTTTTCTTTTTTTCTTTTTTTTTATCCTAACATTTCGATATTTACGACCAATAAATCTGTGGCAAATTAATTTCTACTTAGCTCCACCTTTAAAAATAAACCGACTCTAAATATTTTATTAAATGCAATATCGAAATATAGACGTTTTTCAAACAGGAAGAGAGACAAAGAGAGACAGAGATAGAGAGACAAAGAGAGAGAAAGAGAGAAAAGAAAGAAAAAAGAAACCAGGCTGTCAGCTTTGAGTTTAGTATTCTTCTCGAGACGTACAAAACAAAAAAAAATTCAGCAATCGTTTTTAAATGATTTCGATTGGAATATTAAATAAATTATTGTTTTTGTAAAATACTATACACCTCAATTTTTTTTTTTTTTTCGTTGTTGGCAATACAAATTTTTTTTTTCACTCTCATTTTTTTTGAAAAAAAAAAATTCAATCATCAATCAATCATTTAAAAAATCAACAACACAAGCAATTACTTTTTTTTTAATCTCCCACTCGCGCAAAATATAATAACGATTTCATTTTCACATCAATAATAACTAATTTTATAACAATTTTTCCAAACTTATTAATTCGAATTAGGAAAAAAAAAAGAAAAATCGATTAATAAAACCCCCCAAAAAAAGTAATAATAATGCAGCTGCTGGAAATTTTCTGCGTGTGTGTGAGAGAGAGAGAGAAAGAGAAT